TACATGGTAGGAATATCCTGCCGGTGTTTATTTTCTGAAGGCGAAAATCTCTTTGAATTAAGCAGATGTGAAGAATTCCATAAACTGCATGGTAAAAAATCTACACTGTAGAACTAAACCATTGAAGTCAATGAGGCATAGACTAAAGGATTAGGAGGAAGCTGGATTTGGCCTATTGTGTCCAATATTGCAGATAATGCCATATATGTAATTTCCAAAAAAGAAAGCCACATGAATGTCCAGACTGCTGCATGGTCAAGGTTTCTGTCCGTTAACTTAGACCTACTACTACTTAGATTCAAGAGGGTTGGAGGTGCTACTCTATAGTTTGAGGATCACAATATGATGGAGCAAGGTTCATCTTAATCTGCATTTATTCTTCATTATTAGGGAATTGTGCATATATGCTTATATCAAAGCATTTCTGAAAGATGATCAGTAACCATTAATTTTGACATGCAGATAACAAAAAAGAGATCAACAGCGCCGACTAAAATACCCTTTTTCTCCTTCATACTGATGAAGCAAAATTTATTCGATGAAAACTTTCAGCAACAAATGTGCTTCTGCTGCTGCTGTCAGATTTGTGGCAACATGAAGAACTTTCCCCAGTTGCTGATGGATGGTAGCTACTATTATTTTCCAAGATCGAAGCTGGCAGCCAGCAGCTACCACTATGAAGAGCTATTGCTGCCATTGCCTGTAAGACCCACATTTTGTCCCCCTTAAAAACTTCTGAAATCTCCCCCCGCCTTTGCATTCCATGACCAGGACAACAAAATCAGGGTAGGGGGTGGGCAGTGCACTCAGCAAAACTCTAGTTTTCTTTTGCATTTTGGGAGTATAGTTTTTAACAGTAGGGTTAGCATCATAGCCGTTGACTGGTCAATTGAAAATACTGGACAACCATCAAATACTGTAGAACTTGCAAGAATCCTACTGTGTAGAATCTACACCATAGGGGGAAGCTAACTTATAATGGTGTTATCCTTTAGTAAAGGCAGGGATGAAGGCAGCTTATACCAAAGCCCTGCTACAACAAGGTGCAAAATTAGAAGAACAGAAATGTTTCTTCCATTGCCTAAATAAGGGATGGGAGAGCTGTGGATTTGCAGTTGTTGTTGGTCTACAGCGGTCATCATCATCCCTGAACATTGGCCACAGAAGTTGGAATCTAACAACACATGGAGGGAGGCACAAGTTCCCCCCATCCCTGGGCTACCTGAAAGGCATCTCCAGAAAGGAACACAAAAAGTCATCATAGGCAAACATCACTGTCTAATGGACAAAATTTCAGACCAAGACTAGAAAGACCAAGTTCTAAAGCTTAATTAGCCACAAAACTCATTAGGTGAAATTGGACTAGTCACAAATTCTCAGCCTAATAACCCTCACAGGGTCATTGTGGGGTGGATGATGTATGCCACCCTGAGGGAGTTGCAGGAAGAGCAGAATAAATTTATAATAAAATAAATAATTCATTTCAACTTTTTCAAATTAATGTAACAGTGGTAGCTCTCTAATTTGCTTTCTGTAATCTGTGCATGTAGAAAACCTGTTGATTATTTTTTTTGTAACTCTAATAACACAAATACATGACCATTATTTCACCAGATTTAACCAAGTGACAAAATCTTTATTGACTGGTCAAGTGCAAAACCCTATTTTAAATTTTAAAAATTCATTATAGCTTTTGTCGACTGCCTCATCTACTATATATTTTCCAGATTTCTAATTCAAGCCAGTTAGGCTACAAATGTAGATTACTTGAAAAATGAGGTACTACCAATACGTTATTTATATTTAAACGCTTCTACGGAAAGAGAATACTCTCAGTCAACTCAATTAATGATGTAAACATATTACATTTCTTTTTCGGGATGCGTTTAGAATGTCAACAAATTTAGGCTGCAATCTGAAACCAGTTTACCCAAGAGTAAGTCCCATTGATTTTAGTAGGACCTACTTCTAAACAGACATGCTTAGGTTTGGGTTGTAAGACTGCAATCCTATACTTACCTTCTGGGTAGACATGTACAATAGGACATATATAGGACTGTGCTGTGAGTGTTACTTTTTATCAGTTAAAATATAGTACTACAGTAAAAAACAACAACACTTTAACTGTGGCAACAGTTTCAATTGATTGGTAAAGTATATGCACAGATTTCATAGAACAATGTCATAAGCACGATCATACGAGGTCACTCTGATTAAAATCAAGCTAATAAGAAGCAAAGTTTGAATGTGCATTTGTTTATTAATTAATCATACTGATTAATTTTTCCCACTGCTAAGATAAAGTAATGTATTTCCAACAACAATATTAATGGCAAACTTTGTGTCTACAGTATATGTATTTTGCTTTTATAACATGTCACTGCTATGCAGTTATATTTAACCATCAAAAAAATTAAACACAAACTCTGCTCAAAGTGTTTCAACACAGGAAAGAACTAAAATCCTGCTAAAGATATATAAAGAAATATATTAAGGTCCAAAGTGATTAAGCAAGACAGCAAAAAATAACAAAACTGAGTACCTTGCAAAACAGCAAAATCCTCAGATAAAAAGCTAATTACATATAAAACTAACCATGACAGATCATTCATACAGTTCTTGCAGTACTATGGAATTTGTTTGACTTTGGGGAGCAGATTTGACAAAGTAGAAGAGCTATACAATGTTGTAATCTATGAAATACTATTTGAACTTTTCCCCCATTCAATGAATCCTTCATAAGTACCGGTATATTTTCCCACACTGAGTTTAAATAAAGTGACCCAAACAATGCTAGCTTGCTGCCCATTACTGCCTATTATGACAATAAAAGAACTGTCATGTTTTAAAGTATTAGCTAGTTAGTAACAGCTATATTCATTTCTTTTAAACTGTCCTTCTTTAAATGCACAAAGATGTCCAAAAAAATATTTGTATCATGTCGTGCCAATGATAAGATGGATTTTATTTCTAAAGCAAAACATAAATGCACCTAAGTTAATAACAGTGTATTCACAAACCAGGTAAAAACATCTTAATGGAGTTTAGGGTTGGTTCTTTATCTGAACTCAAAGCGCTCTTTGTCTGTTGCTTCAAACAAACCATAGATGTGTGCTTATAGGGTTAAAACTCAGGAATGTGACAGTTCTCCATGTGCAGTCTATAGACCTAACTGTTCCACTTTCCCTGGTGGGGCTCCAAACTACATGAAAACAATGCAGCACACAAACTACTATTCTGACACTGAAGGTTTTGTTAACTTCACAGAATGCTATTTAAACCAGAATTGTTTTTGGGTTTTTTTCATTTTAAACGCAGCAATTACAGTACTTGGGGTTTCTAGTGAATACAATCATGAATAGAGAGAAGCCTTTGCTTATTTTACCACATACTGAGAGCATCTGATAAAATGATTTATATTTACTTGACAATCACCTGATCACAGAAATTAATTTCCTGTATCTGAGTGTGCCATTTGTGAAACCAAATGTGAGCCTTTTACCAAACTCAAATCTGACCCTTATTCATTATGTTACTTCAAACACTTAAATGCTGGAGAACAAAACTAAGGGTCTTTTTACCTTGGACAAGGAGTTGTGCAGATTTAAAAAGGCACCATTGTATCAGTTAATTGAATGATGTCTTGTAGTTACCTACAAAGTGTGTGTGCATGTATGAGTTTATGTACACTATGAGAGATGCAGAAGGGGAGTAAGAATGGCGGTGGGTCTGAAATGAAATAACTGAAATGAATGAATTTAAATGTAACTGATTAATTTTACTCATTCAGACCTAAGTGACAAAAGATCCTGACTGAATAGTTTCAAATGCAGCAACCATTCTGAAAATAAAATTAGCAAAATGAAGAACGGAAAAAAATAAAAATACTGTTTTAAGAACTAAGGCAAGTAAATGTACGCATCCACAAAATCATACAGCATTCTCCACTTAAGCAACAAATAAACTTTTAAGAATTGGTTTAAAAGAAGGTAGAGCCAAGTCAAGAAAAAAATTATGGCTGAGGGAAAAGGGGGTGAGGTTGGGGCACAGAGGGAACTAATAAGAAAAACCAGGTAGTAACTTCAAAAGTGCAGGATGTTCTTTAGCACTTCACATGTGGCAAAATGAATGTATAAACTGTGTGTTTTTCACAGCTGCCTTGGATGTTGCCCAAACATGTGTACAGTGCCTTTTGGCTTAACTACATTCAGATGAATTTTTAAAAGAAAAGTATGACTTCTGCAGGTAATTTTTAAGAAGTACTTCAGCAAGTGGCACTACCAAGAGAGAAAGGGCAGAGGAAGAGGTATGGTTAAAAAAAGTGTGGTCATGCTTAATCTTGTCCTCCAGAAGAAGAGCACAAGCCATCCAAGTATGGTACTCAGAAGCAGCTAGCAACTGCTTTTAGGATTCAACACAGTAGCACACACAAAAAGTATTGTCTCCTTCTACACTTCTTGAGCTGTGGGACCACCAGCACCTTCTGCCAGATCACAATGCTTCCCCTGTCCTGTTCTTTCCTTCTCTTGCCCCAGAACCTGCCTCTTCCCTTCGGATCCTGCATCTAGGGCAAGAGCTACACACACACAAATGCATCCTGAAAGATGCCTTGCTATATTCGGAATTCAGTATTCCAGAAAATCTCTGGAGGCCAAAAGCAGGTCCCTACACTGCATTGGGGCTGAGCTCCAAGCCCTCCTTTCAGATGCATCTGAGGATGGGGATTGCAGGACACAACCCCATTCAGAACCGTGCTAGGACTTTAAGAAGCCACAAAACTGTCCTGGTTCTTTTCAGTGCTAACACAGTCTGTGAAGAAATAAGACGAGTCCGGGGTACCTCTGAGCATGTGCAGAGCTCCTCTCCCTTTCCCCTTCCTCAAATAAAGACAAACCCTCCGACTCATCGGGGAAGGTCCAAGCAGGAACCCAGACAGCCAAAAATCGTAGAGTTGGAAGGGACCACGAGGGTCATCTGCCTGCAATGCAGGAATCCTTTTTTGCTCAACGTGGGGCTCGAACCCGCGACCCCGAGATTCAGAGTATCACGCTCTACCGACTGAGCTATCCCAGGCTCGCTTCTCCGCGCCTCGAAGCGCTCCAGCCACCTGGGCGTTGCGAGACTGGACCAGGGCTGCGGGGCGTCCGAGGTGTCCGCCGAGCTTCTTCCTTCCCCGCATTGCTGAGGCAGCAGCAGCAGCCGAGCGCGGCTGGCGAGCCGAGGCATCGCGCCCAGAAGTTGCCCGCCGAGCGCAGCCACCTTCACCCAACGCCCCCCCCCCCCCGCCCTCACACTTCGCTTTGCCGCCCAGACAGAGAGCCTCGCGCAGGCGCCCGCTCCCTCCCTCCCTCCCTCCCTCCCTCTCTCCCGCCACCTACCTATGGCCCCTCGCTCGCTCCCCACACGGGAAAGAACTTACCTCCCGCCCTGAAGCGGAGGGAGCGCGCCCGCAGCAACAGCGTCCGGCACCGGGACTGGCGGGAAAGAAAGGCTGACGGAGTTGTTGGGGAAGTCCCGTCCCCCCCCCCCTCACACGACGTCTTCCCCCCACCACCACCACCACTCCGCCCGACTCGCGTCAGGGCTCAGCCCCGTGTGGCGGCTCCGGCCTTCGAGAGCAGCCGGCAGCCTCCAATCATGGCACGGCGAGCGTCCCACCTCCCCACCCCCCCACCCACCCCGCGGTCCGACTGATCCCCTCAGCGAGGGCGGCCCGTCAGGCCTCCTGAGGCAGAAGCGAGCGCGCCACACGCGCGAGGCGGAGGCGCCTGTGTTGACTTAGCGTAGGCTGCGCGAGCCGGCGGCTCCCTCCACATCCACGGGACTCGGGCCATGGGCTCCGGTGGGAGGCGGCTTGCCGCGCGCCTGCCAGCGGCGAGGGGCTCTCGGTCCCCACCATTCCTGTGGTGAGAGGGGAAGGGGGTCCTTGGCTCGCACGTGGGAGCGGAGGCGGCTGAGGGAAGAGCGCGCTGGGCGCAGGGCGCCGCGGGGAGAAGGTGCGCGTGGCCCAGTTCGCCTTAGGCCGCCCATGCCGGGAAGATCGCTTCAAAAACAAAGCACGCACCCTCTCAGAGATCTCTCCATAGCCAACCATCCAAGGTTATCGATTTTAAAGCTCCTTCGGTGGGAAGGACGGACCGAAGTGACTGGAAGATGGAGAGGCGAGCGAGGAAAGCGCCAACTTTTCAAGAGTTTGAAGAACTTTCTCCCTGCCTAGCCACGGACCTAGGTTTATTTTTTAAAAAAAATTTTGCTACAGAGCTCTGGGCAGCAGCTGTATAGGTTTCAAATCTTCTAGGCTAAAGATGCCCGGACAACCGTTTGGTGCTGAGCGATGCTCCCCTTCTAGAGGGAGCGAGAGCTCTTGGGGTTTACTTCTGAGTAAACGTGCTAAGGAAGATCCAGCTGGAGGGGGGTTTTCAAACACGACCCGGCCGGATCCTAGACAGAAAACGCCTCCGCAGCGACAACCTGAGGTTCAGAAAAGAGCTCAGCGTGGGTTCAACGCAGGCTAGGGAAACGCAGCGCGCCGAGAAAGCTCGAGTTGTAAACAACCGAGTGCGCCAATCGTGCCCTGTGCGAACGTCTGGGATCGGTCCGATTTTAACCACCACCACTCCCAGATCAGCTCCAGTACTAGGGAAAGAACAGCCGTGCAGGCTGCGATCTTACCGTGATGCCTCTTCTCCCACGATCCTTGCCATCGCATTTCCCTTCTCGGGACCGTTTTCGTCACCAAACTCCATTCATGTGTTGCTTCTCCTGGGCTGAAGCCCTGAAAGCTACCTTCCTTCTTTTCTTTTTTTTTTCTCCCCCTCCTTCTGCTCTGAATCCCAGCTACGAATCCCAGCTGACAGTCCAGGCAGACGCGAGGGCGAGCAGGCAAAGAAGAAACTCGAGTACTCTCTTAATTAAAAAACGAGCGGCTAAAAGTGTCTTGGGCTCTCTTAAAAAATAAAAAAAATTAAAAAAGCAGAGTTACATAATGTATTAATTGGTTGCTATTAACGCACTTTTATTGAGCATAGCACACAGAAGTCTGATTGTGAGCGAGGAGTGTTTTCAATGAAAGTGGAGTTATTTTAGCTGCAGACATGTTTACATTTCTGTGGTTTAGTCTATAACTTTCTCTTTTTCTTGCTTCAGAATTCTGCTCCATGAAGCAAAGCCCTTAGCTCCCAGACATTCCAAAAAGTCTGCCAAAATAACAGAAAAAAGAGAGATTTTCTTTTTTTTAAAAAAATAAAAAGCAGGCACACATAGACCCCCAAGTCTGGGTCAGGCAGAGGGCTGTATACCCCCTCCCCACTCTCTCTAGTTCAAAAGCCTTCAGGGCTCCATTTCCTGTTTCTAAAGGGGTGGGGGGATTAAGTGCCTCTACGAGTAGTGATTTTTAGGCACTCCCTAGAACAGATCTAATTCTGAGTACAGTAATTCTGCCTATACCAATTGACAGTATTACTTTCTGGCAACAGCCTTGTCTCACAAAGGACAAAAACCACATGAACGATCTCAGTTTTGCCCCAGTATAGCTTCCTCGTATATGCTAGCTATTTACTGCGCACCAGAGTTGATCTGAAGCACCTGTAATGTGCAATGTGCACCAGCAACATCTGGAAGATCAATTTAGAGTGCTACTACGGTGCTGAAACATGCAAGGATTGGAATAAGAGCAAATTTCTCCACATTGATTTTCCATACTACGAAAGGCTGTGTGTGGGATCCTGTATATATTATATTATGGCAGGTCACCAGTGTACACAACTTGTCTGGCCCTTGTTATCTTCTTTATGCACTAGCATTTCTAAAAGCAGGATTTATAATTTTTCACACATTTCCCCCCCAATCTAATAGGATAAGTTCACTAGATGAGCTCAAGTTTATATGTGACATAGAAAGAACAGGTGTTTGACACTCAATAATGACAACCTTCAAATACCTCCTCCCAGATAGCTTTCCTTAAAGCCAAATCAAGTTGCCCTAGAAGGTTCTATGTGGATATTTTGTGGATGGCGTAGCAATACCCTGAGGTGCTCAAATATGAAGGCACTACAAGCAATGCAAGCCTAAATGGCACCAAGTAGAAATCAGCCTGCACTGCAGCCATAGGCTAGATGATTGTCCCGACAATCATAATAATCAATGTGTTATATAGTCATTTGTTTGCTTGTTTTTATAAAAAAAGAATAAGACCCTGTTAGGTCCAAGCCCTCACAAAGCAGCTTCAACCACATAAAACCACAATGAAAACCAACCACCAAAAACAGAAAATGCAACATATTTTAAAAATACATTTATTTGGCTCTTATGTCTTGCCCTTCCATTATAAAATAACAACATCTAAAAAATGCAAACAAACAATGACTGTGATCATCTTTCTTGGGCATAAGCTCTGTTGAGCTCAATGATGAATAAGCATACATGCTATCATGTATACACTGTATAAGATTATGTTGTAAAACAATCCCATTTTCCTTAAGCCAAGTAAAGTGCCTAATGTTTCTAATGGGTAGTCTACTTAAGACTTATTAGTGCAGTAGGCTGAGAATGGCCACTGTCACATCAGCAAAAGAGGCTTCTGGGAGGCGGAAATGGTTTTCTGAATATTGTCCTTTCTGATTTCAGATTTATGTCTGTGTGTGTAGGGGTCAGCAAACATTTCCAGCAGGGGGCCAGTCCACTGTCCCTCAGACTTTGTGGGGGGCCAGACTATACTTTTTTTTGGGGGGGGATGAATTCCTATGCCCCACAAATAACCCAGAGATGCATTTTAAATAAAAGGACACATTCTACTCATGTAAAAACACGCTGATTCTTGGACCATCCGCGGGCCGGATTGAGAAGGCGATTGGGCCGGATCTGGCCCCCGGGCCTTAGTTTGCCTACCCATGGTGTACATGCATGAAGAGAGAGAGTCAGAGAGAGAGAAACTAACCTCTTTGTACTGTGTTGAATGCAGAAAGGCACTGCTGACAGATGATAGTATATATCATGTTGGAAGGTGAGCAGGTGAGTGAACCCTCGATGTAATGGCTAATTTGGTGCTACCTGAGTGGGGTTAGAGTCGGAACCTGGATTCATCACAGAATCTGGTCCCTGTGCTTGTGTCTTTGTTGGGTGGCTTGCTGTTGCTTGTGAGTAACTATTCTGGATTAGGGGGTCCCTCTGTAATTGTTGGTCTTTCCATTTGGACTTCTGAATGCTCTGTTTTCATTGCTCTCTGGAATCATTGGTTGACCTACTTGGATGTTTCAGTGTTACAGTGAGCCTGTATTGGGAAGGGAGACATAGCACCTCTGACTGCCATGGGTTTAACTGTCCTGATGTAGGAGATCTTGCCAGCTTAAGTTTAGACCAGGGGTCACCAGCATAGTGTCCAGAGGCTTTTCCTGGTGCCCACACAGTCCCCTCCTCTGGTGAAATTAGACTGGTGTGTGGTGTCCACAATAGTTTCTCCAGTTTGCAAATGCATTCACAGGTCCCAAAAGGTTGTGGTGGCAATCGATGAATCTCATACTCCAACATACGATAGATTAAATTTCCAAATGGCACCTTGCTGATGCAGAGTAGTTAAGCAGTCTCAGAGGCAGCTGTTCCCTAGAAAGAGAAATATCACACTTACTGCTTGTGAATGCCATATATTATATATATTTTCTATATGTCAATCTAATCAACAGCTATGGTTATTCTTTCTGGGCAAAGATTCAAGGTAAGTAGAAACTTATCATATACTTTCAGCTTTTGCCCTGCTTTCTGTTAATAAAATTGTTTTTGGGGTGTCCGCTTTGTATTAGATTTATGGTTTATGTAGATTAAAGTATATTAGTGTATGTAATCATTCTCAACTACCTTATATAAAACAGAATCTATCACTTCCTCCCTAGTGTGCACTTACCATGGTGAGCCCATGCTACTTATTCATATTGAACTTGCCCGTAAGCAATAAAATCAGTGCACAAAATATCCACCCCAAGAACTCGTAGAATGAGAAACAGGAGCTCCCACCCTGCCCCCACCCTCTTCATAATAGAATCAATGCTCTATTTAACACAGTGAATTGTTTCAAATTTCAGT